GCACTTGCAAAGCAGGTGGCGGAACCACTGAGCTAAATCCCCAGAAGAACTATTATTTTTTTAAAGTTATAAATGAATATCAGTGCTTTTCAAATGAGTTTCTGCATCTATTGAGGTGAGAAAATAACTATTTTGCTTAAGCAATTGCTATGATAAATTACTTGGTAGGTTTTATGATAATGAAAACCTAGGTGACTTCCTAGGGCAAGTTACTTGACTTCTCTGGGTTGCCAAATGAGGAACACAGGAGTTGATTCTTACTGATTCCAAGTATTAGAAAGGAATTTAGAAAAGCACTGCTATACAGTGAACCCTTGATTCAGTGAGTATTTTCTTTACATTCCAGGGATAAAATCTACTTAGTCATGATGCATTGCTATTTTAAATGAACTGCTGCACTATTGGCTAACATTTAATAGAGAATGTTTACATCTATGGTCATAAATGTGAGATTGGTTTTAAATTTCCTTTCATTTGCTTTCTTGGTCCAGGTTGGTATCAGAGTTATTTGAGCCTTGAATAATAGATTGGGCATTAAAAAGCACACACTGTAGGGCCGGGAATTTGGCTCAGTGGTTCCACAGCCTGCCTTGTAAAGTCAAGGACCGAAGTTCGATCCCCAGTACCACAAAAACAAAACATTAAAAAAGAAAGCACCCACTGTAGGGATGTTATCGAGGGAGAGGGGATAGATGGATCGTGGAGAGAGGAGATAGGGGTGGCAAGTGGAGAGGGATAGTCTAAAGAACTTCCTCCAAGCTGGGAATGGCAAGGATTTGCTGTGGGATCTTAGGTAAGGACCAGAGCCTGCTCTGGCAGTCACCCCAGCAAGATGGCAGGCCTCAGAGTACAACTGCCCCACGCATGAGGTTTCTATGTTCCTGCAAAGCCACTATGTCCACATGTAACATGGAAATGGTGTAGTCACTTGGCTTTCAGGTGTGGCATGGCCTTGAACAAGAGTTCATAACTGGCTACCTTCCCCAATTCCTGGGCTATTATGACCCTGGGACCTTGTCTTGATGCTTGGGAATCATCAGGGAAGTCTCAATAACCCTTGAGATTGCACTTGGTACCTTCTCAGGAGGAAAACTAAGAGAAGTCTAAGTTTTATTGGTAGAAATACAAAAATGTACCATGTCAGGTACCCCATAATGTGGAATCAACTTCATACCCACAGCATAAACTAAGTTTCTGTCTGTGTCAGTCAGCTTCTTATTACTATAACAAACACCTGAGATCATCCAAAAGGAGGAAAGGTTCATTTTGGCTCATAGTTTCAGAGGTTTCGTCCACGGCTGTTTGGTTCTGTTTCCTTTGGGCCTGTGGCAAGGCAGAGAATCGTGGCCGGAGTGACTGGTAGAGAGAGCTACTCTCCTCATGACACCTGGAAAATACAAGAGAGAAGACGGAGTCTGGAGTCCCCATGTCCCCTTAACACACGGGCCTTACGTGACATTCAGATATAAACTATAGCAGAATCTCTGTACTATGGCTTCTCCAGCTTGTTTTCTATTTCTCCGTACCCTTCATAGACTAAGAAATCCCGGACCACTGAAGGCTGGCTCTGTTCTTCTCCGCATCTGCAACTCTAATCAGAGGGCCCAGCATCAATCAAGTCTTCTCTAAGTCCCAGTGGAACTGAACTGAGTGAGATACAGATAAAAGTTCCCAGCGTATTTCTGAGTGGTGCTTTCAAGAAAAAGAATTCTTCAGATCTGAAGAAATGGGCTATATGGAAAATGCTATGGATTTACTTGTTCAGCATGCATTCCAGCAGCCTTCGAGTGTGCCTTCCTGTATTGGGAGAAGCTAGAAAAATACAAGTTAATTTCTCAGCCTCCCTTGAAGCCAGGGCTTCAGATGTGACTTAGGTTTCACCAATCAGAACTTTCAAGGAAAGACTTGGCTGTGGATCTACTTTCAACAGGGAGAGAGGCGGAGCACAAGCCATCCCCTATTTGCTGGCATGGGTCGTAAAGTAATGGTGTGGTTAAGCAGCTTCCTGTCTTATTGGTTCCCTTGGCAACCGTGGAGGAGTGCCACAGAAGGATTGTGGGAGACTTGAGCTTTTCCCTGTGGGCTCAGAGCCTACTTCTCCTGTGGTCCTGCTGGTCTGGTGGCTCCTAATACTTTGGGATGGATCCTCTTCTGCCCTAATTGGTAAGAGTGGCTTCTATTATCCACAACTGAATCTTAACAGATTATAAGTGATGCATTTTTCTGGGAAATGGAAACTTGTGATTGGTTCCTGATCTGATTAAATTCAAAGGTAGTGAGGGCCCAGTTGGCAGAGGATAAGGTCTAGCATCCTTTGTCTGCTAAAGGCCAACAGACTGCTCTAATGACCCATTAAGAGCAAGCACGAAGAATACAACAATGTTGGGTATGTTAACCACCTTTACCAGTACTGTAGAGTTTTAAAGACAGCAATCGATGAGATTAGGGTTCTGCATTATGACTGTAGGTCTCGCGAGAACCGAAGAACATCAATGCCTCTTTAAACATGATTTCTCACCTGCATTAGTCACAAGTAGCATAGCTGGAAATCCATTGCGTTTCTTGTCCCTGAAGGTCGCTGGATGATAATAGAGTTGAAGTCTCACCTCAGTGGTTCTTTTAAGTGAGACCTAGAACAGGCATTGAAGAGTGGGACTGGTAGGAGGTAGGGCAGGGCGAAGCTTTCTGGGAAGTAAGCGGGACCTGCTAATGCCGAGATCCCAGGACAGCGCCACATCATTCCCGGGACCCCGTATGTGGAACTTCTCTCGGGTTCCCGTGAGACGTGGACTGCATGTGGGAGCACGGATGCCGTGAGGCGAGCAACTCCCATCATGACTTCACGGCAGCCACTCTGTGTCTTCCAGACCAGGACGTGCTTTTATTTTTGCCCTTTTTTTCTTTTCCTCTTTTATTTGGCCCAGGTTTGCTCTGCAAAGCCGGTTTTCCCCTTACCCTTTTACCCTTCATTTTTCAAATAAATTTGAGGCATTATTTCTGGGTTGCTGCGTTCAATTCTCTGTTCGAGGAGAGAAGGGTCTGGAATAAGTTTAACTGAGCCAGGACTGAGTCCTGGAATTGAGATTTTTTTCAGTGAAACAAATTAAACCTTTACTCTTTGTAAGCTGATTGCCTCAAGTATTTTTTTTACAATGGTACAAAACTGCCTAACACACAAGGGGATCTTATGTTTCCTCCTGAGCACCCCCACATCTAGTCTGCCTCTAGATCTGTGATTAAAGATAGAGTCAAGTAGCCGGGTGTGGTGGTGCACACCTATAATCCCAGCATTCGGGAGGCTGAGGCAGGAGGATCACTGTGCATTCAAGACCAGCCTGGGCTACATAGTGAGTTTGAGGTCAGTCTCAACTGCATAGTGAAACCCTGTCTGAAAAAAAAAACAAAACCCAAAAAACAAAAAACAAAACAAAACAAAAGATAGATTCAAGCATTTTACATACCCAAATAATGAAAATATTTTGCTAGTTCACATTAGCAGAAAACAAGGAGATGGATGAGTGTGGTCTCTCAAGGCATTAGAATAAGAATGGAAAAACATTTTTTTACCTCCCATTTCTGATTTAATTCTGGATTGATGCGAGGGGGACTCATGAGAGGATCTGGATTTAGTGTGCTAGCATGAGTAGCTGTGAGTTCTTATATCTTCTTGGGAGGTCAGCAGTCTTACAAGATGGCCGCCATGAACCAGCCCTCCCTGAGTTCTTGCCCTCACTACTTCTACTTGGTGTTGGAGTGGGGTGGCCCACTGAATAGCTTTAGCCAAAAGGAGGCAGCGGAATTGGGGGTCAGGAAGCTTTTGCTTTTGTGAGCCTTGAGCAAACAAGTAAGAATCCAACTGTGGGGAGAAAGGCCATCCAAAGATGGCCGCTGCCAGTTCCTCCACACCCTTTGTACCCTGAACATACATTGTGCCTCTTCTCCTGGTAGGTGGCAGCACTCTCCCTTCTTTCTCATGGTGGGATGGCCCTGCATCTGCTTTGACTGACAGCATACAGTAGGTTTGGTATTCTGGGACTTCTCAGGCCAGCTCTGAGGGGAATTGTGAGCTGCTTTCTCCCTTCTGTAACCTTTACTCTTGAAACATACTGCCTTTCTGAACAAGCTGCCCACCTGTGAGAAACCCAAGCCATACAGAGAGGCCACCAACTAACACCTCAGTCAGTGTCCAGCACCCCCGTACCATTGCTGATCAAAAGAGGACCCAGGGCCTGAAGGCCACCTGTGCCTTGCCAACTTTTAGAAATAGAAGAGAAAATATAATGAGGTTGTTTGGAGTGGTGAATGTTGGGGTGGTGCGTCACGCAGCGACAGATACCAGATAACCTGCAGCGAGTTTTGGAATTCTAGCTCTCTGCTGAGCACCTGCCAGCTTCTCGTCTCTCTGTAAATAGATGAAGTGAGCTTTAGATGCCACCGGCCATTGAGGCTGCGTCCTCCATTTCAGATCTTTGTCTCTCGTGTTACTGTGACACAAAGTCCTCTGTGCTGAAAACAGCTCCCTCAGCGTCCTGAGCTTCCTTTCTCCCTCCCCTCCAGAATGCCTTGGAGGCGACATATGTTCCACAGGAAGAACACCTTGGAGAACAGTCAGGTGTTTGTTATAAATGGTGATTGTCATTATTGTGCTTTGTCGTAAGGCGAGGACCATGTGTGAGCCCCACCACCAGCAGTCGCTTTCTACCATGGTGTTGGATTTTCCCACCCCAGGAAACAAGATAACAGAGGGGACTAAATCTCATCACCATCATCTTCATCAACACCACCTGCGGCAGGAGCATCACCATGGTTACAGCGGCCGTCGCGACTGTCACATTGTTACTGTTGTCTTCGTCAAGTGCCATTTCTTGGACATCTCCCCAGTCTAGGCTCTTGACCTGGATTCTCACCATGATTTGTCAGGCTGTGTATGGTCACGAACCGCCTTTTAGGGGGGAGTCCAGGTTAGTCCATTGCTCAAGGTCACACGGAGGTCACCTTTGGTGCTTTGCTTCTGTAGCCCACGTCCTAAAATTGAATGGTACAGAGAAGATGAGTATGGCCCTCACTCAAGGATGATTTGCAAATTCACGAAATATTCCATATTTCTGCTCTCATAGAAGAAGAGAGTATAATGAGGTCACCAAAGTTTAGGAAAGACAAGGGAAAGGTGGATAGACAGAGGTTAGGTAATAGATAACAAAATATCGTTAGATGAGAGGAATTGCTTCTAACGTTCTGTAACACAGTAAGATAACTACAATCCACAAAAATTTACCATTTCAAAATAGCTAGAAAGAAGAGTCTGAAAAAATGATAAATGTTTAGGGAGATGGAAATACCACTTACCATGATTTGACCACTGTATACTTAACATATATCACATTATCCACTGTAACTTTTAAATATATACAAATAGTCTGTGTCAATTAAAAATAAAAATTTGCTGGGAGTGATGGTGCGTGCCTGTATTCTCAGTACTCTGGGAGGCTGAGACATTGCCGGGGCAACTTAGTGACCTGGTGAGATGCTGGGGAATTAGCTAGGTGTGAAGGCCCTAGGTTCAATGCCCACTACCACCAAAAGAAATTTTAAAAATTAAACTTGGCTCATAGGACAGTTAAAATCCAGATAAAAAGGATATTGGTTGCCTTCTACATGTTTCTCCTTTCCCCACCAACCTCAGAGAAATAAGGATTTTTAAGGGGCTCTGGGGTATTTGGGATGCTGACAACATTATCAAGCTGTACTCCAAATGCCGGTGAGGAGAACAGCACTCTTTCGGGGTGGGGGATACCTCCTGGCCTTGAAACTGGAACAATGGGCTGAGTGTGGAGCTGTCATATTCTGAAAGTCCGCGGGCCAGAGCTAAGGGGAAGCCGAGCGTCCCTGCTCATTTGCTCTGTGCAATTGTCTCTCGGAAGTTGGGCAGGCGCTAATTAGACGGCCACTCGGAAAGTTGCTATCTCTGACTGGAAGCCATCCAAATTGCTCGCTTTGTTCTGAAGCTTTGGGAGAGGATGCCCCCTCCCATCTCTCCTTCCACCCTGTCCTCACTTGCCAAACCACAAGGACCACAGATACAGCTAATTGTGTCAGCTTGGCTCGGCCCTGGTTTCCAGATAGCATCTTTCATTAGCCTTAACCTTCCGGCTGCCTGGCTGCCAGACCTGGGGGGGTGTTGGGGATGCGTTGGTTACCCTGGTGACATAGGAAAGTGGTAGAGCGGGAGGCAGAGGACGTGGGCGACACCTCCAGGTGCCTCTAGACGGTGAGCCCTCTTCTGTCCAGAATTCCTGTGCTCTGACAAGGTGGCACGAAGCCCCCTCTGGATGCCAACAGTGAGACTCTCTGAGGGTAACGGGACCCTGAGGTCAGTTTGCTGGCTGTCTCAGTGGTGAGCATTTTAAGGGTGCCTTAAAGACAGTCTTCAAGGTGAGGTTTTGAGGGCACACACGCACACACACACAGGTACACACTCACGCGCACACATGCACACACACACACACACACACACACACACACACTCTGCCTACACAGCCCTAGCAGTTGGAGGCTCTCATTCAATGTGTACAGAACTGAATTTGTACCATTTATGCACCAATGGCCTGGACTAGAGGCCAGGAAATGATGGTTAATCCATATGGTGTGATTAAAAATTACAGCAAATGTTGACATGTTTGAAAGTATCGCAGTAGAAGACACACTGCCCGTAGCACGCGCCCCCGCAAAGACTCTCCCTTGCTTCACACGCGCTTGTCCCATCACTCCTGCTCTCTTCTGAAGCAGTCTCGGAAGTCCTCTTTCTGGAGCGTCTTTAGCTGTGCTGCTGTGGTTGACGATGTCCTGAACTGACTCCAGATGTTTACCTTTCATGGTCATTTTAATTTTTGGAGAAGAGTCAGAATTTCTGTGGTGCCAGATCTGGTGAAAAAGGTGGCTGAGGACACACCGCATGTTTTTTATTTGACAGAAATAGTTGTAAATGTTTTCTTATTTGGGGGAGGTAGCGGGGATCGAACTCCAGTCCTTGTGCTTGCGAGGCAGGCGGCGGAACCACTGAGCTCAATCCCTGGCCCCAGCTGTAAATGTTTTGAATTGCACTTTGGTGAACAGACAGTTTCTAAGTTCACTACCTCCAGGCTCATGCCAAGTTCTGAGCCCAGGAGTCAAGCGAACAGGAATGGAACTATGAATCTGAGAGGGCCTTTGCTTGCTCAATTCTCCACAAAGATGGGGGGGTGGCCTTTTGAGAGGCAGAAGTACTTCACAGGACATACAGAATATACTGTTCCTCAGTCTGCCTGCTATGGCTCCATCTGAGCAAGGGAGCATGGACCTCTGTCTATTCTTTAGCCACAAGATGGTTCTAGTCCCAGCCTGCAGTGGCCAGTGAGCCAGTGACCAAAGAAATTGCAAAAATGCCTTACACTTAAGGTGGACGGGGTCATGCCCACATGGACAGACTAGGAGAGGTTGAGCCTCTTCGCTTTTCTGCCTTCAATTTGCAAAAATCTTTCTTAGTCTTAGTGTGATCAAGGAAGGCCACAAGGAGTGACTGACTGCAAACGTTCTGCTTTTCTTTGCCAAGAACTTTGAAACTATCAGTATCCAGTGTCACTGCCTTCTTTTTGCTTATCGGTCTTTTTGGAGGTACAGAAAACAGACTGAGACCAGCCTATGGGAAGGGAGAGTTGTCACTGAAACATCATTGTAGCACCATAAAATGAGTCTTAGCCTTCATTTACATAGATGATAACGCAAATTATATTGAGGAAAAGATTTAGAAATATGACCAAAATTCCCCTGAACCATTAAAATGTGGGATCTAGTAGTGATCCTTAAAAAATAGTCAGGCCAGGATAGTCAGGCAGATTGTTTTCTACAGACAACAGAAAAAAAAAAAAGTATGTCTTTTTCATTTCTAGCCTAGAAAATGTTGCCGGCATCCCAGCTGGCTGCACTACATAGAAGTCACTTCAGATATGGATTTTTTTTCTACCTCCCACCCTTTGTGAGAACCACTTGCAGCAGAACTGGCGTTCAACAAAGCAGCCTGCCGGACAGGCTTCTGTTCCTTGATTGCATCAGAGAGACGCACGCTCTGTGGGGAGTCCATGGTACACATCGACTCCTGCGCTGAGTGCCAGGGAGAACCCTGGCCTGGCTTTGTCGGATGATATAAACTGGCCGAGACTGGCTAGACGCTGAGAGCCAGGCTGAGGAAGGCTCCTCTCGAAACCAGCTGTGAGACTTGCAGCCCGGTGCCCAGCGTGACCAGCTCATCCTACTCTTCCAGCAGCCAAGTGCACGGAGCCCTCTCACGTGCACACCCGTGCTCAGGGCATCCCACACTCTAGTTCCGTCCCACAGCAGCCTCTTGGTGTGGGTTAAGGTCATCTCCGTCTACACCCAAGGTCAACTTCTCAGGCTCAGAGACTGAGATCACTCATCTGAAGTCACAAAGCTGACGGGTGGAGAAGCCAGGTTTTGAAGCAGACTTTTTCTCACTCCTGAGCCTGTCCTGCTCTGATTATTTTAGGAGGGAAGCATGAGCACAATCGAGGCTCATGAGATCTACGTCTTGCCGAGATTTAACTTTCGACCTATCTTCTGGCCGGGTTTTATGGCAACAGTCAAAGCAGCCAGGCTCCACTCAAGACAGTAGCCGGAGACAAGCCCCAAGGACCAGGTCAGCTTCTGAGCACGGCACCCCTCTTCTAAAGTCTGACCTCCTTCCCTTACTCCAATCACTTCCCATTTTAATCACAGGGAAGCAAGTGCCATTTTCATTCCGGGCGGCTGTACAAAGGAGCAGGTAACTTACTCTGAAGCGGGGGGGTCACACGCAGTAGGGCAGGCTGCTCAGCCGGGACTGGTGGCATTCAGAGGGATGGGGTGGGGACCGGTGTGGCTCGAGCTACAGGTGTATCGGATGTCAGGGACATTACCGTAGCCACACAGGGGCCTGGGCTGTACTCAGAAGGTGGAGGACCATTTGCTAATGCCATAATCTGAAGGGCATGCAAGGAAGGGACCTGCACGTGAGGATTCTCGGCCTCCAAGTCTCCCTGCCATTATTGTTCACGCAGGCAGTCAGAGATGCGGGAAGGACTCGGAGACGCTAACAGTTTGGTGCACCCGTTAAGAGCAGTTATTTTGGTATTTGTTTAATTCAAAGAGAAAGCTGGATTCAGGGGGGCGGTGAGGAAATTCCTGGCAGTGGTACACAGCCTGGCCTCAAATTGGGAAATCTCATCCGACAGACAAAGCCCCATAGCGGACAGAGCTTAGCTCCTTACGAGTCTTTGCAGGGCCCACAGATTTACTTGATGTGCTTCTTACCACTTACCTGCCAACAGAAACAGCTCACTGTGCCGGTTTTAGAACATGGCTGGGTTCTGCCTCTGCCCTCCCACCTGAAACAACCAGAAAGTCAAAGGAGAGGAAGCGATGTTTTCAGGCAGCACAGACCATTGCCTGAGAGGAGGGAAGTAAGAGCAGCAAGGCTCATAGAGTATCTGAAATGGAAAATAAACTGCAACAGGACTAAAAGCAGATTAGACACTACAGGAAAAAAAGCTCAGTGGATTTGAAGACAGAGCAATAGAAATTACCCAAAGCAAAGCACACAGAGAAAAGGACAAGGAAAATGAACACCACTAGTGATCAGTAGCAAGTGCTCTAACAAAAGGGCAATTGGAACCTAGGAGTGAAGGGTTGGGGAACTTTGAAGAAATAGTATCTAGGGCATTTTGAATGTGATGAAGACCATAAATCCACAGATCCAAGCTCAATAAACCTGTCTGTGAAGAAAAAAGCTTAAAGGAAGCTCACATTATGCCATAGCATATTATTTTTAAAAATCAGTGATCAAGAGAAAACCTCAAAAGCAGTCCAGAAAGATGGACACATTACATATCAAAGGAGAAAGATTGGGATAAAAGCATACTTCTCTGCAAAAGCCATGTAATACAGAAGATGATATAGTGACATCTCTAGAGGACCAAGCTTTTAAAAATCTATCAATTTGGGGGCTGGGGATTTAGTTCAGTGTCACTGTGCCTACCTTGAAAGCACAAGGTCCTAAGTTCAATCCCTGGTACTGAA